TCATTCTTTCTTACCGATTCGTCCAGCTTACAGGGACATTAAAATGGGTATTCTATCTAGAATAGAAATGTATGATACGAACGCTCTCTCTATTTGAGGCAAGCGATTGTAAACGTTTCAGCTGTATCTTCTTTTCTACAGCAGTTTAAAGACGTCTAAATCGAACAATTTATAGCAGACTAACAGACAGTAGAGAATAAGATCGCGACGAAGCCGCATGCGTGACTTCGTGAAGGGTCACGCACCGAAGTGTCTAATCTCAGCTTACTTACAAAAAACTTACTTAAACGAACCAGTTAAAACATTTGCCAAGTGAAAACTGAAAGGAAAACACTAACCCTGGCTGAGGTACGGAAGAACCACCGATGCTTAAAACTATGGAAAACATTTCCTACTCATATCTGAGCAATGAGTTATACACTTTTCGATGAATATAACAGATTTCTTTCGTTTAGGGTAAGGTATCTTACTTCGTAAATGTGAACTTACTCAGTGATCATAACCCTAATCTGAGCAACGTGCCAACCGACATTAAGTGGCCGATTCGAACTAGTAAAATAGAAATCATATATCATGTATTTAGCGTAGGAAAGTTGGGTAGTAGGACACCCAGAACAGGTACTTCGATAAAGCAATGGTAACACATGCCAATTTCTCAAGTTATTAGTTTAAATCTAATATTTAATTATTTTCCTAGCTTTTAATTGATTAACTGTATCCACCAAGTAACTTCAATACAGGAAAAATTCCATTTCCGAGTGTGTATCATAATTATGGCGCTGACATCGTTTTAATAAAACGGGTCAATGCGCCTTGATCAAATAAGACAATGGCACCGCTACTTGATTTGCGGTATACATAAGGTTCTGACTTACCTGAAATTCTACTTTATGTTTGTGGTAGTGCGGTTCTGAATGCACCACCCAGAGGGCTGAGAAGGCTTATTGGAGCAGTACAACAGTTTGACCATCCGTAGAATTATATTCTAGTTGAGGCTTATTTATTACAAGCATACAAATAATGAGAAGAGAATGAAAAAATTAAATTTTATTAAAAAGCCGTCACTTTTGTTAGAAACAGCAATTTATACCGACAAGAACTTCATCTAATAACTATGCATGCCCTCTATCTAACAGTAAAACCTAGGATAATCCAAAATCAGCTGCCTACGGATCGAACCAAAAAATAAAAGACGCAAAATGTATTGAGTGATGTCTTTTATTCGACAAGATTAATTGACCCAACTATAAAAAGCGACACGACGCTATTCGACTAAGTTCGTGTAAGTTGAACTTGCAAGCAGCCCCGATTTAGAATATGACTACAGATCGAAGTGGCTGGCTGAGAGTGCACCGTTCTGTGCTGACTATTTGGATATGCGGGGGAAAAACAGCAGTGAAAGTATCGAAGATATTATCTTTTGCAACTGGTGCCAGTGCAAGCGGCCTTGTTTATCTAGTACCATACACAAATCCCCTATTATACACAGGTTAATTTCAATATTTACGTTATTGCATGGGCAGCACGTAATGTTCTGCGTGCGAAAATATTTTCTTTCATCTATTTGCTTTCTCCTCAAGACGGAGTGTGAGGAACAACTGAAACCTACTGAACACTCAGCAGTCTATAAAAAAATTTAAATTACACCATCTTTAAGAATATCTTAAATGCCTCTATATATAAAAGATACGCAGCCAACAAGACTGAGGTAAGTTTTGCGATGAAGAAGTTCTTCGTTAATCGTACGCGCTTTCGATATCCGATTGTTTCCATATTCTATGAATCATTTGGATATTCGTTGCTTTGTTTACCAGTGGTCAAGCGTTATATAACATTAAAAAGCTCTGCTAGTATGTTGTCCTGATGTCGACCTGTTTGTTAGCCATTCATTTGACCGCTTTTATCATATATGTCCTTGACGAGAATGACATTAGTACCGACCTTTTGCCGATATCAAAACTACAGAAGAAGCAGTAACTTTGTTCTGCCTACGGTGAGATTCTGGAGTTAAGACACATAACCTCATCTAACAGCTACTTCGCCATAGACCTCTTGCCGTACACGATCCACCTATTCCGCGTTGTTTTAGTTTCTTTTTTTTTTCACCTAAATAATGAACAAACAACAAACACGCATAGAACATATTGTTTTTTACCACCTAACATACCAATCTGAAAAGGAAATTTTGCGGTCGGAACATAATCAACATATGTTTATGAATAGTCGAGTCTTCATACCGATAAGATTGCGCAAAACGATGTTCAAAGAATTTCACCAACGTACAACCAGATACAGAGAAACGAATTCAAATAAAACAGTTGGTGGGGTACAGGGACATCATTACCAAATGTGGCTCTGAAACTGAAGGGCTAAGCAGGAATTTCACGATGCTCATTCGTCAAAAAGAAAATAATAGTCGGTAAATTGGATGTATTCTTCCTGGACTGATTTACTGAACAACGACTCAATAATCGCTCTCAAGGATCGCTTTGGCAATTCACGCGGATAACTATACCTTTCCAAAACATTTCTACCATATGATTCATTCCTCATCTTAACATGTCAAAATAAACCCGAACATAACGTGGATCAGACTAGTCTACTTCAGGTTTTTCAAAATGCTAATTATGTATGTCAGTTCATGCTGCTCTGAGACTGGGCACAGATCCCGCACATTCTCTGATGGTAACGTCAGTTTGATTTAGATTCATAAGGTTAATGTACGATCAAGGAAGCGAAGCTACGAACCTGCTGCATGTAAATGTAAAAGTATGATACTAGGGGCACTGTACAGTAACCAAAAACGGAAAGCACTCAAGAAGCTCAAATTTTACATCCAAATCTTCTTCTGTGATGTCAGCTTTTAAGCCTTCGTGGTCAAGCCAAAAAACTAATTTAGCGTACGAATAGGCCACTAAACGTTGGACCATCCACTGTAATAAATATGTTTATAAATAAGATATCGAAATATGTGCATTTAATAGTGTTGTTCATGTCCGAGCGCAAGAAGTTAAGCGAGGTGAGAAGGCCACTCTTTTTGACTTCTTCTGTAGTCGAACTGTAAAAGACGATACAACACCAAGGAAGCTATCTACCACATAAGATCCTCCTTAATTTTTGCGTAAAAACCCTCTTGCTTCAGTCTTCGTTCAGTCGTTCATCAGGGTTCGAGATGTTTCGAGGACAAGCACCTTACATCGCTCAAAAATTATAAGCCTTCACCAAGTGCCTAGAAGAGTAGATTTTATACGGCACTGGAACGTTTGACAAGTATGTCGCTAGACCATGACTGCAAAACTCAGTGCAAACGAACTATAGAGTTTAAGTAGATTAATGTTCTACTTAATTTAATAATCGTTTTTTTCTTCGCTGCGGCAAGATGAGCTCATTAAATACGTTAAAGAATATCCACGAACGAATTCTTGTGAAGCAATAGGGAGCCTTTCAATAAATATCTCACCTCAGGCAATGCTGACCAGGACATCGCTTAATTTCATATTCGCAGCCAGCAGGAACACATCAAAAAGTCCTATCAAGCTGTTTCTACAATCCTGGCTTGTTGAAAGGGTGCCTTTAAGAAAAGTATACATCGATATCGGTATCAGTCCGGTATATAGCAGGACGTTCTTTACCCTGATTAGTTCTTACTCCAGATGGCCCGTTATCTCTCTAAATCCGACCACTTCGTGGTCTTAAAAAGGACGATTTTTCAAAGGTCACAGCAAAGCTAATAGCTTCTTTATTTAATTTTATGTGATCATAATTGTTGCCAATTATGGATTTACTTATTTGAACTTATTCTCAACTTATTTAGATTTAGACAATTGAGAATACGATTCCTAAGAAATAATTCATGGTATATGAAACATAACTTTGAGCTAAGCTATCGAATATATGGTATTTATTTATAGCAAGTTGACAACTGGGCACTGTTCATTTGTCAAATAAAAAGTCTTAGAGTCGAGCGCTTACAGGTCCAAGAAAGCCAAGTGAAGTTTAATGCTGTTTCCAAATGTAGCAACGCAGACATATTGCTGACAATAGAAAGATGGTGTTTAGTATATAACTCCGTTCGCCGCTCAAAAAAGTATCTAGTATTTTTTTTATTATAAAATAGTCTGAGCATAATTTCGAATAAGTAAAACGGCAAGGCGTAGTTCCTATATCGGCACTGAAGCGTGACCATTTACTTATTGGCTCGTTCTTGAAGCGAGTGATCAAATTCTAGAATGGGAAGTTCATGCCCAATTATTTATCATATCATGGAAAGCCGGTATAATGGTAAAAGAGAAAAAATATCCACATGAAGCTAGTGGCTGGGCACTCACATAGCTACTATTCAATAGTTAAACTTAATAAACCGACAGTGCGCACCAAACAGACTTTTATTAAACATAGTGTGTGTATATATACTGAACATATTGTCGACGAAACGACCTCAGATATTAGTGGCTAAAACCTGTTTTTAAAGCCCATATCAAATATGGCCATTTGCCATTAGCTCGAATATTCTTTGCTTTTCTTTTGAGATCATGAGTTGTCACCCTATTCATCCCAATGCTATTGAATGAGGTTCAGCGTGCAGTGATGATCATCAAGCGAGAGTGGGCACAACGTATTCAGTAAAAACAGCTCATGTTGTGGTGATTCAGCCTCTTCTAGTTATGTTGATTCTCGTGCCAAACAACTTTTGAAACATACAACTTTAGTATCTCTCACTCTGTACAATCCTTTTAGTAAAGGCTGGTGGTTTTAATTGAATTCAATCCAAATGTATGATCTTCCTATCTAAGTAACGATTTATCGCTTTAAGCTTAGTTTATTCAAACGCTTGTTTATGAGTATGGTTGGCTGGTACCTTAATTATACGCATATTCGAGATGAACTTTTCACCTCGTTAACTTGACAACGAAAACATTTCCTTTAAAGAACTACTGCCAAAGAAGAAAAAATAGACCATACAAAGCCGTAGAGAGTATTCTGTCGAGTTTATTGGCAGGAAAAGCTTTGTCTCCCTTTTGGTTGAGGTAAGCGAAGGTTCTAGCTAGGGGAATCTGTACTAAAACAGAGTGACCCGTTTATGAATCTGAAAACGCATATAAATGAGCCTGTAAGTCTAGCACACATATTCGGACTGCCGAGCTAAGGTTCTGAGAGGGAAAAACGTGCTCATTGGGCAAGCAACTTTTACATTGTGTTTTGAGCGATCAAGAGAGGCCAAAAAAATTCAGAGCACAGTTGACTAAACTGCAGCACAAACGTTATGAAAAATGCAACGTCATCGCAAAGTATTTTGACGGAGATAATTTATATTTGATTAGCGAAATTACTAATTAGCTGATCGCGGATTAATAAGCCATATGGCCTTACTGGCACGTCACTGCCATTGACCATTATTTCCATAAACTAAGGTTACGAGAACTCTTACGCACCGATCAAACTTTCAATAGTGAACATTGAGCGTCCGTTCATATAAACCGCAACAACGATCCTCTTCTACACTTCCCGTGAGATGCTTTCATGCTAGAATCCTTTAAATAACTCGCGTCGCCTTTTCAATCAACGCCCGAACAGAAAAGAGTCCACGTTCTGTACGTACCTATGTCATACGCATGTTGACTGTGAATGCTGCTTGCGATTGGAGAAATTAAGGTACAAGCGGAAAGCGGCGCTTGCTGATAAAGTTACGTTCACCTTTCCACGCAGCACATTAGTCCCTGTATAATCACTAATCTCCGTTTACGTGCACGCTGGAATCTGGACATTGGAGAATTTCGTACTGCTGCGGCCTCGACGGAAGCAGCCATTATGACTGTGTATTCTTTCCCTTTTAAAATGGCGCCATCCGCTCGATCCAGCTCAACTCGAAGGCGGCAAAGCACACATAAAACTTCATTCCGCTATGCTCACTAATAGTGGCATAACGGCATCTGTTAGGGGGTTTGCATTGACCCAGCAGCGAGTTACTGCTTTTGCGTCGGCCCCTGCTCTTCGTAGCTCGATAACTTTGCCCACTCTGTAAGACTATATTGCTTTTCCTTCTTTGGTCAGCATTTCTTTTCGTGCCAAGTGCAAGCTACCTAATGGGTAGTTCAGCCAGAAGCCAGATTTTTCACAAAACGGCAACCGCACTTTACCACAGCCTGTGGTTAAGCCAGACAAGCCTGTATGGAAATTGGGATTACATTTACCATGAGCTACTAGAGCTAACTACATTTAAGTTATATCCGTGTGAACATTCAGTAATAAAACAAATTAACGTAGTTCATTAGGCTACAAACTTTACCCTACCAACGACGACGTAGAGACTGATAAGATTCGTGGGATATTAAGACTGAAAGCTCTATGATGAAAAATTTGGTGTGGATTTTGGGAATAAATCAGTTGTTTATACATTTCGTTCCATAAATTTCAGGACATCTTTATTTAGATATATATAAAACACAAAATGATAGAAGCAAATTCGAGCGAATTCTAGGAAGTAATCTAAATGCGAGCAACCTATCTTCAGAGATTTTCACATCTGGCATTTTTTTTTTATTTCACAGTTGACAACGTTTTGGGTTGGGTCTGTCAAAGTATAAACGGTCATGTTACAACTTTTCCACGTGGTCCTCGAGTTAATTTTTAGCCTTTCACTAAATTGAAAAAATTGATTATACTAGAAATAGTTAGTAGTACTATCGATCAGTAGAAAAATTATTACGGTACACATTGTATAGCAACAAAAGTGTTCGATTGTTTTATGGGACCGTCGCATCTGTTCCGTTCCGTACTATCCTGTCTATGTTGAATACGAAGAAGAAATAAGGCATAACTCTAGGCCGGTCACTCACCTAAAACTAGCTTGTTGCATGTTATCCCTCAATCCTCTAGTGTACAGTACGCGTTGATGTGGCTTTCTGTCGTGATGGATGAGATCATCCTCGTCTGTGCTCTTTTTGGCCTTCTGGCTGTAGGCTAGCTAGTACTTGCTGCTGCCATCGCCGTTCCCTCTTTTTTTCGCACTCGGGCATGCCTCGACGCTACAAGAATTCACAACCAAGGACCACATCGTTGTTGTTATCATCAGACTTCTAATGCTTATGTCTGAACGCACAGATGCATAGACCGAAAAATACATTCGTGCCCATATCTAGGCCCGTAACAGCACATGCACTCATAGTGCACATTTGCCCTTGCAGCAACGCGTCCTCCTTCAGCACAGCGTAGAGAGGCATCTAGACAGGTAGCTACCTGGCTCTTTGCGAGAGAACCGATATTGGCCAAGCCGCCTTCCGCCCCCATAGTATGTATGTATATATATAATAAGAGCGTATGGTTGTATGTGTAGATACATGTACATCCATATATAGCTGCGGAGAAGACGCAGAAGGAGAAGGCAGAGCATCAACGCACGTCGAAATATTACGTTAGTAGTAGACTGCTTGATGTCCGATGGATATATGGCGAGTATGCAAGAGAAGAACTCATATGTTTCAATCAGCTCGTCTCACTTCTTTTGCTCGTTTACTGAAAGGAGCGGTGGGTGATGGGGGGGAGTCGTAGCAGTCATGCGCTACCCCTGAGAGACCACATCAAGGAGAGGCTAGAAGTAGGTTTTGCCATTAACATTGCATGAAGATTCCTAGGTTCGAGAACTTTTATAGGCCGCTTAGCGACACTTTTCTTGTTTTTCCTTCACACTTTCCATTAGATCTTGCCGTTCTTCTAGCTCGCTGAGAGCGCTTTGTCTATGTAGGCACCAGGATTACTGCTCCCGATTTCGGCTGCGCTGGGTTCACACAGCAGCTCCAGAAGACAAATACCGGCGACGGGTATGCGCTTCGATATAAGGCAATGGAGGACCGGACACAGTGAGTCTCTCAAGACGGGCGTTCACCCGACTTTCTCTGGGTGGCAGGAATGGCGGTGGGCGAAATGGTGTTATGCTTATACAAAAATGGCAATTTTTCACTTTTACGAGCAGGCTCTTCGCGTTATTGTCGTGCGTGTCGTCATTATCAATGCTGTTATCGTCATCCTTGTCGTCGTAGTCTTATGCCTCGATTTCATCGACCAAGAGAAGGCTAAGGCCTAAATGGAGTAGGGACTCGACAGTAGCGCTCGTTCTGCTGGTACGTTCCATCAGAGCGCACCTCCGTGTCCACAGAATTATTATAAACTCACATGGTGTGTTCTTCAGCCAACCAAAATTCTGTTCTCAGTTCATCACAATAATTCGTTTCTATTTTGCCAAGCAGGTCAAAGCCCCTGGTAGAAGCAAAACTTAGAGAGAGAGAGGCTACAGGACTGGATTGGTAGCGTAAGGGTCACGAAGTTTGGAACTTTCCAACTCTTTGAACTACTCCATATATTACTGCTTGATTTGTACATTGGCAACGGGCTTTAAGGTTAGCGGCCTATCCATTTTTCGAAGAACTCGACTCTGAGCAGGCGCGAGTGCTAAAGATCGGGTAAACTATAATAGACTAAAATGGCAGCGCCTGAATGACGGCCATTTGGAAAAATAACGTCATTGTATATAACACACTTTCGTACTATTCATGCTCCAATGAATAAGAACTTACATAACACAAAAAAAAATACCAAAATGATCTATAATTGTTCGCAATAATTAAGTATTCCCAGTCAGTTGAAGATCTGCACTGCATTGTAGCATGTTCATTGCAGAGCATTCACAGTTGGAGCAAACGTTCAGTCGAGGATAAGACACTAGTTTGCTTTAAAGGTCCAAGGTAGCATTATAATATGATTATTTCTACATATACTTTTGTTCAATATCAATCGTAAGAAATCTGAGGCATCATTGTGGAAATCTATTGTTTATCTGCAACTTCTATGCATTTTTGCTATCGTAAAAATGTATTAAAGTAACCTGTTTTTTTTTGAATATAAGTATATTTCGTTTTCAAAAGCAATCATACTGATATTTTTAATAGTTATATTAAAGGGTTCTTCGTAAAAATTTATTAGTTTATTTTTGATTAATTTAGTTCGTTGAATGTTTGCGACTCATTTCTCAGGATTTTGCTTGGCACCCCACCGTTCGGAATGAACCGTTTGGCTGAAGTGACAAGCAGCCAAACTGTCAATGCAATATCTTCAAGGGTATTACTTATGCGTGGTATTGCACTGATTTGATAGCTACAAGGGGACAATGAGACATATTTTTCATCATTCGAAGTTGTTCTGCGAACCATCTACTAGGCACCGTTATCCATGCGGGAAGGCCAAGTCGAAGTCCCGTTTGATCTGCCCTTACAAACATCTAAAAACAGGCGAGAGAAACGAGAAAGCACCAGTGATAGAGCTGCAAAGCGATAGAGGAACGACAAGCATCACTACGTTTAGGTCTAGATGAGCATTACTTGGACTGGTTTAGGAAAAGTCGTTTCTGGTTTAGTCTTCTCTAAAGGGTCATACAAAGCGTTCATCGCCATTGGACCCGCGCCAAATGGGCAACGTCGACTCAGAACAGGACCAAAAGCTTCCGCTTTTCCGATGCAGCTTCTTATGGTGCAGGCTGATGGGGCCGCAGCCTACTACGTCAGTGGTAAGAAGATACTGCAGACTGTCCCCTTTTCCGTATTACGCTTTACTCCCAGTCGCTCCTAGGTGGAGACTTAACTGGGTTCGTTAAGCCGCCGCGAAAACTAAGCAGCAAATATTTGCTGAGGGCGGCGTCTGCTTGTTAGAACAAGCAGCCGACAATACGCTTCGCTGTGATGGTATGCCCTCGCGAAAACGCCAATCTTTGACGGATGACCTCTACGGAAAGACAAGTGTGAACAAGCAAAATCTGTGTCCAGTTGCATCCGTCTCGGATCGGCTAGTCTGCCGAACCACTTGAAGTTTGTTTAAAATTCCACGCAGACTTATTGCACATACTTCATGTTTATATGCGGGATTTCTTAGGCATAGGCCTGTAAACTAGCATTAACCAAGAGGTTAAAGTTCACGTAAGCTAAACTTTTGTCGGGCGAAAATTGCGAAATTCAACGTCGCTCCAGATTTTAGGGTGGCCGGGATTACTATATAATGTGAATTGTGTATTCTTGAATTAGCAAGGTTTGAACATTCGGGAAAATAATTCAGTCTGAGATTGATGGTGACAGGTGACACAAGCACCTGAACATAGAACTCCTGAATTTTATAACCAAAGAAACGTGGTTGGCATTCCGTCTACCTATCGTTTAATATGAATCTGTCCTCCAGTTGGGAATGAGATGAAAGCATCGTTTTACGCTTAATACGCCGCTCAAACAAGGGCATGGCATAGGCCTGTTAGCAATGCTTTATAGACCATAGCTTGCAAAGCAATCTACTGAGTTCAGAGCACTCAGGTGATGGGTGACTGAGTACGCTGACCGACTTTTCCGTAGGATATCCGCCCGAAAACACCTAGCGGATATGACGTCAATCGCAGAACGATTGCGTGAACGAGCGAGTCTCGCAGCAAGCCGCGTCTCCAGCATTCCTTGAACAAAGTTTCTACGTTCGGCAGTTGAGTTGAGCTTGCAAGCAATCTTAAGCTTTTGCAGAATGGACTGGCGACAAGCCTTTGAGGCAACCGGACGAAACAAGGCTCAACGTGGACCACAAACAATACAGGAACGTTTGCCTCTCAGCGACGCGAAATAACCAGCTAATAGGCAATGAGCTAGGGTGACTTTTCCTAGAAACGTAGACGAATGACGATACTTATACGGAACAATACGTTGGTGGTAATACTGAAAGATAGTTTCCCATGATGATTTGATGTTATTGTATGCAGGAAACAGGTAGCTATTACGAGAAAAACGGTCTACAGCAAGTCGATCTGGCTTTAATTTGCCTATATTCCTGGCCGCAGGGCAAGCTGTAATGAGACAAGCAATCGAATTTTCGAGTTTAATTTAAACGTCCAATTTTCCAAAAATATATATCTAGCAAAGTTTAGCAGATAAAATTATGCATAATGCTTGTCTACCTCCAAAACCGAATGAAAATCAGTATTAGCCTACGATGTAACATTGAAGAGTGTAGGGCTAATGTAGATGTAACGAATCTCACCAGAGGTCATTCCCATCTCTCATGCTGCTTTTGATATGCTAACTTCATCTGCGGATGAATTGATTTTTCTTTTTTTTTTTTGTCATCTTTTGTCATCTTTGCATTTATATATCATGTATGGTATTATACAAAAAACCGCTTGATACGATGCTAGTAAATTGTGTAGAATCTTAAAGGTCAGTCTAGTTTTTGCTAGGTGGCTGCTCTTCGCCGCACCTTATTTCTATTTCCTCATTCCCACCTTATTCAAAAACCGGAACGTCTGTACACTACTAACTGCTGGACCGAGATATGTATCCACCTCAGACTGCATCGATCCGACATTTGTGTCAGTGCGCCACTTGGCTCGTCGCATTTTGCGGTGACGCTGCCGTTGAATATCACTGCAGCTGCCCCCAGCTCCAGGGCATTTCAACGAGGAATCGAATTGAATATGCGAGGTCCAGTATCCAATGTATGGGGCCGTGCTGCGCGTGTATCCCGGCGACGTTGGGAGGATGAGTGTGCGGATTCCGGTGGTGCCAGCGATGGCGTCCGAGGGTTTCCTGCAGAAATAGTGTAATATCGATGCATAAATCTATGCCTTTGAAGCTGCAGGTCTTTCGAAGCTACCATATCAGATGCCCACCTCGCCGATTTAATGAGGATCCGATATATGCTTTGAAAATTTGACGCTACGCCAAGGAGGAAAATGAAGGTGAACGACCACATGTTCTTCTCATCGCAGGAGGAAGAAACTATGAGATTATTAACTCTATATTACAGAAAGTAAAGTGTAATTCTTGTATTTGGTCACACTGAAGGGTGATTATACTCTAGAATACGATATTTTTAAAAAATGTATATGGTCCCAAGCATATTAAATTAAAAAATAGATTCCCTTATGTAGAAGTTTAGCAGAAGATCGTTACTGTAGTGCCCACTCGCTTATGTTTCATTACTGCTTCAGGGATTTACCTTAGAGTTTTAGCGAAAATTTGCTTATATTTCATAAACATATCTCGTAAATAACGTTAATAAATTAGATAGTGGATTTTCTGCCACAAAGCACGAATTAATTACGCTATTGAGTCATAAAATGGGTTAACGGCATTATTTGCCCAAAATTTTTTGCTACCAACAACACGAAATATAGATAGAAAGACTGTTGC